TCTCTGTCCCTGCTCCACTCACACTCTGTCTCTCTCAAAAATAAACATTAAAAAAAAAAGTCCATAGGTGGATAAATAAACCAATTGTGGTACATCCATACCATGGAATGCTACTTGGCAATGAAAAGGAATCGACTATTGATATATGCAACACCTTGGATGAATTTCAAGGGAATTAGGCTGGGTGCAAAAAAGCTACTGTCAAAAAGTTACATATTGACTGATTCCAACATTTCCAAAATAACAACATTATAAAGATGAAGAAAAGGTTAGCAGTTGCCTGGGCTTGGGGGTAAGGGGTGGGAGAATCCTGTGACCATAAAGAGGTAGCATGAAGGATCCTTGTGATGAAACAGCTCTGTATCTTGATCATAGTGGTTACGAATTTACCCAAGTGACAAAACCGCACAGAACTATGTACACACACACACACACTAAAGTGCATATAAAACCGCTGAAATCTGAATAAGGTCTGTAGAACATACAAATGTTATTTTCCTGCTTTTGATAGTGTACTGTAGTTGTGTAAGGTGTTACCACTAGGGAAACTTGGATGAAGCGCATAATAAGATCTCTCTCTACTATTTTGGCAACTTCTTGTGCATCTATAATTATTTTTAAAAAGTAAATAAATCATTAGGGAAATGCTAATCAAAACCACAATGAGATATCACCTCACACCCATCAGGATGGCCATTATAAAAAAATAGAAGAGAGTAACAAGTGTTGGGGTGCCTGGGTGGCTCAGTCTGTTAAGTGTCTGGATTCATCTCAGGTCATGATCTCACATTTCATAGGTTCGAGCCCCACGTAGGGCTCTGTGCTGACAGCTCAGAGCCTGGAGCCTGTTTCAGATTGTGTCTCCTTCTCTTTGCCCTCTGCTGCTCTCACTGTCTCTCCCTCTCTCTCAAAAATAAATAAACGTTGGGGCGCCTGGGTGGCGCAGTCGGTTAAGCGTCCGACTTCAGCCAGGTCACGATCTCACGCTCCGTGAGTTCGAGCCCCGTGTCGGGCTCTGGGCTGATGGCTCGGAGCCTGGAGCCTGTTTCCGATTCTGTGTCTCCCTCTCTCTCTGCCCCTCCCCCGTTCATGCTCTGTCTCTCTCTGTCCCAAAAATAAATAAAAAAACGTTGGAAAAAAAAAATTAAAATAAATAAATAAATAAACGTTAAAATTTTTTAAGTAGTAAAAAAAAGAAAGTAACAAGGGTCGGTGGGGATGTGGAGAAACTGGAACCTTTGCACATGGCTGATGGGTATGTAAAACGGTGCAGCCATTATGGAAAACAGCATGGAGGTTCCTCAAAAAATTAAAAATAGAATTGCAATATATAAAGCAATCCCCTTTCTGAGTGTATATCCAAAAGAACTAAAAACAGGATCTCGAGAGATATTTGCACACCCATATTCCTTGCAGCATTATTCACAATAGCCAAGGGGTGAAAGCAACCCAAATATCCATAGACAGACGGATAGATACACACACAATGTGGTATATACATACAATGGATCATTAGCCTTAAAAAACAAGGAAATTTTGTCACATGTATGGATGAACCTTGAAAATGTTATGCCAAATGAAATGAGCCAGTCACCAAAAAAACAAATACTATATGAATCCACTTTTATAAGGTATCTAAAGTAGTGTAAGGTAAAATAGTGGTTACTAGGTTCTGGGAGTGGGGAGAAATGGGGAGTGATTCTTAAGTGAGTACACGTTTCAGTTTTGCAAGATAAAAAAAATTCTAGAGATCTCTAACACAATAATGTGAAATATAATTAATACCACTTAACTATACACTTAAAAATGGAAAGATGTTAAATTTTATAGTGTATATTTTTTGCTATAAAAAAAAGCTAAAGTGAGGTGCCTGGCTGGCTCAGTAGGTAGTGTGTGACCCTTGATCTTAGCATGGAGCCTACTTTAAATACATTAACTAAAAAAAAAACAAAAAAAAACTGAAGCAAAATAAAAAATGTTAAGATTTAATAAAGTTGGGTGTTGGTTATATGATGCTGGTTATATTATCTCCAACTTTCATTTATGTAATATTCCATAATACACATTTTAAAGTAGCTGTTTTATAATGGACATATTTCATTTTAAATTTTTTTTTTTTTCAACATTTATTTATTTTTGGGACAGAGAGAGACAGAGCATGAACGGGGGAGGGGCAGAGAGAGAGGGAGACACAGAATTTGAAACAGGCTCCAGGCTCCGAGCCATCAGCCCAGAGCCTGACGCGGGGCTCAAACTCACGGACCACGAGATCGTGACCTGGCTGAAGTCGGACGCTTAACCGACTGCGCCACCCAGGCGCCCCATATTTCATAATTTTAAGACCCAATGTAAAGACAATACAGAATTTTTCTCCATGTTCATTTGGACATCCAACATCAAAGTTTCTAACTTGCTGGTAGTAAATCAGGAGTCTCATAATTCTACTGACATGAATAGCCAAACTAGGAAATGACAAACCACATATTAACTCCGTATTTTAAATATCAGCTGATGATGTCAAGAAAACAATTGTGAATTTATCATTGGAACCACAGTTTTCTCACAGATTTTTATTAAAAGACATCTAGCCAAGGGGCACCTGAGTGGCTCAGTCAGTTGAGCATCTGACTCTTGATTTCGGCTCAGGTCATGGTCTCTCAGTTAGTGGGATCGAGCCCCATGTCAGGCTCCTTGCTGATAGCAAAGGAGCCTTCTTGGAACGAACTCTCCCTCTCTCTCTCAAAATAAATAAATAAAGTTAAAAAAAAAAAAAAAAAGAAGAAGACATCTACCCAAGTAAAATCACTTAGAATTTTTTTTTTTCCAAAGGAACTGCCTAGGCAAAAACCATTTGACTATGGAGAAGAAGTAAGTGGTGACTTTTTGTTTTGCATTTTGGTGCCTAAGGCTGTCACAAAGTTGGGGTGTTTTTTTTCCCCAATTGAAAAAAGGTAAAATTGCACTTTATTCACCGAACATATATTGAACACAATGCCAAGTGTCATGCTAAATTACCAAATCCCTGATCTCTGATTTTGTCATTCTATTTCTTAATTTGTTTACAAATTGTTTTTTACAGTTTACTACCAAGAAAGGATGCGATTACTAAAAATGTTCATTTATAAACAGACCATAAAAAATTCACCTTGTTTTACAAAGACAGCACCTGTCATCCTTCTGAAAACGTTTTGCTTTGTGGCGGTCACCGAAGGTCCCACTTTGGGAAAACATTAAACCAGGAAGCTGTATGACTCACTTGGTTCTGGCAATTGCTGGAACTCTGAACTAAGTCATCCTATCAGTCAGGTGATCTCCATTCTCGTTTATTCTCCCCACCAACACGTATGACTCAGGAGAAGATGCTAGTTGCTGAAACAAGTTCAGATTCATTGTGAGTCTGACAAAAATGAAAATTCATACTTTGTCAAAGAAACATTTCATCAACCACCTCCAAGTCCAAAATGAACTTGCAGATCTTAAAGAAACTATTTTTATCTGTTATTCCAGGAAGTAGATCTTACCAAGTTTTAGTACACTCAAGACTGTCAAGGTGTCTGTTAACTCCTCAATATACCTGTCTATAGTGCAAGGTCATCGGCACAGTTTTTTAATATTATGCTTAGAAATGTTGTGATTTAATGACTTCTCTAAGTGATATCCAGCTAATTTGCGTTAATGTGCAAATCTTTAGACCACTCCTTACTGAGATTGGTTATTACGCCACAAACAGCCATTTGCGTGTTTATTTACATCCCCGTCTCCGTGACTCAGACACCGGGCCACGTATCCCCGAGATCCCAACGCCCCTCCCTGCCTTACTCACGCTCCTCGGGTTATCTCCTAGGGGGACACGGGGCCACACCCAGGGTGGAGGGAAACCAGCCAGAGTGGCCTTAGCCGGTCACCTCCGCCTTTAGTGTCGCTTGAACACCACACATTAATGGGAGATATATTACTTTCTTGGACACGAATTCCTCGTCAGCTCTCAAAGCGGGTCTTCGGCTCCCTAATTTGCATCTCTCTTTTTCCCCACCAGAGTTTTGTGAAACAAAAGGGAAAGAGACTGCGGGTTTCGCGGGAGCCAGACCTAAGCCCGCCCCCGTGTCACCTGGAGCCGGGGCCTCGCCTCTCCGGGCCTGAAGGCGCTGGGAGGCCCGGGCCCCGCAGAGGTTCCCACCACGAGTCTAGATGACTGACTCTCCTCGGAGCCCTTGTGGGGATCGAGAAGGACAAAAGCATTCTGACTCCAATAAACAAGTGTAATTAAAGCTCTTCAACCCCGCCATTACCAAGCGCAAAACTAAAACCGACCAGGGCGGGATCGCGTTAAGACTGGGGGTGGGGGCGGGTTTGTGCTTCCGCTGCAGACGCCGGCAAACGCCGGCAGAAACCAGCGCGGGCCGCGCCACCCAAACCGGAACCGGGGCGGCCTTCCCGGGGAAGTCGCCGCAGAGGAGGCTTTTTCCTCACTTAAGGCCCGAACACCCAACATTTAGCGGGGGAACGGGGGACTTCGGAGGCGGGAGTCAAGTACCCCTCCTCCCTCTCCGGCCGGAAGTACACCTCTCTCGCGAAGGCGCGCCTCTGGGGCGCACGCGCACAGAGCTACTTAGCAACGTCCGCGTTTACCCACCCCAGCACGGAGCCCAGCAACAACGGAGCCGCCGCGTCTCCCACCAATCAGCACCGGCCTCGCCTTCATCCGCCTCACCAATCAGCGCCGCCGCCGCAAGGAAGTTTCGAGAGCTTTCGAGGAAGGTCCCCTTAACTCAAATCCATCCGCCTGATAATGTTCCTATTTTTTCCTAAGGGAGGAGAAGGGTCACCTGGAAGACAGGGGAGCTGAATTTTTAGGGTCCTTTCTTCGCCTCTGAGGAACCTGGGGCTCGGTGGAAGGGCCTAACCGGGCTGCGGGAGGTGGGGCCGAGCGAACTACTTTCAGCAGCGTACGGACACGGCGGCTACGTAAGCAGTGATGAGTCACGCAACAGACGCTGCATAAATCCCAGCTCCGCGGAGCCGCGAGCGTTCAGAAGCGGCTGGCAGCGCTGGGTGTGTGTCGGTGTCGGGTCGGCCGGACGTGATTGTCTTCGGTGTCCTTGGGTTCGCTACCAGGTACTGGCCCGCGGCCTTCGAGACCTGGGAGGAGTGGAGAGGGGCTCTAAGCGAGACCAGGCTGGCAGCTTTGGGGGTCCGGGTGGCTCTCAGGGAAAGGGGTTGGGGGAGGGGAGGGCGAGGTGACGCGGCGCCGCGGCGCCGGGCCTTTCCGGAAGAGTCGGCCTTGTTTACGTGCAGGGAGCGGGGGCGGTTCGCGCGCGCGCGCCGACAGACCAACCGACCCTTAACCGATGGAGATTCCATCGTGTCTGCTTCAGTGGGGGAAGGCGGAAAAAAGGTGGTCTAGCTTGGTTTCTAAAACTGTTACAGATTTTGAATCCCAACGCGGGGAAAGCGTCCCGCCTCATTTCCGTTTAAACAACAGTTTTTATTTTTCGAGTTTTAGGAAGGGTTTTTTTGGTGGTTTTTTTGGTTTGTTTTTAGTTCTACGTGTCATGCTTAGGTTTTGGGGGAATTCCGGGGACGGGGTGGGGAAGGAAGACGATTTAGCGAAGAAAACAGGAAACCTTGAAAACGTTTTTGGTCTTTCATCGTCTTTAAGTTGAAAGCCTTTACTAGATTCTATGTTCAGTGCCTGATTGGAGGCTACTGAAAGTCGAGAGGTTTGTGAGAGAGGTTAATACGGTCAAGGCACTTAAGAGAATGAAGTTAACTTCCCTTTGGATAATGATTTATGTAAGTAACTTAAAGATCCTGTGGTGGTACACTAACCTTTTATTCCTTTAAACGTTTTAGGTCAAAATGCAAATCTTCGTGAAGACCCTGACTGGCAAGACCATCACCCTGGAGGTGGAGCCCAGTGACACCATCGAAAATGTGAAGGCCAAGATCCAAGATAAAGAAGGCATCCCTCCTGACCAGCAGAGGCTCATCTTTGCAGGCAAGCAGCTGGAAGATGGCCGCACTCTTTCTGATTACAACATCCAGAAAGAGTCCACTCTCCATCTGGTTCTTCGTCTGAGGGGTGGCTGTTAATTCTTCAGTCTTGAAGTTCATAGTGCCCAATGATGGCATTGCTCTGCACTCTAGCCATTTGCCCCAGTTTAAGTTTAGAAATTACCAGTTTCAGCAATTGCTGAAATACTGGTTTTCTCAATAGCTGTTCAAAATGTTAATAAAAGTTTTGTTGCATGGTAGCATATTTGGTGTCTGTCGTGAAATTACACGGGGGGGGGGGGCTCCTATCTGATTAAAAGGGTCCCTTCAAGGAAGGGGGATTAGCTTTCAGAAGGTCATTTTCACCAAAGTCAGTCCCCTTGGGAAGGAAAAGGTGTTTTGAGTTGCGGGAAATTTGTCCTTTGTTAAAGGTCGTAAGATTCTGGTGTAATGGGAAGCCATTTCAGAAGTGCAGTACAATTAAAAATTCGTTGAATTGGAGGCCTATTGAGGGAAAGCAAACTTGCCTACCCCTCAAATAGTTGACCTGATTGATCCTTGTAGAGAAAAATGAAATTTTTGTTGAGGCTGCTGAATTGTGGTTTCAAGTATTGTGATTTTTTTTAAGTAAGCTCTATGCCCAATCTGGGGCCTGAACTCAAAACCATGAGATCGAGTCACATTAACACCCATAGTAGTTTCTGATATTGTTAGAAAAAAGTTTAGTAAAAATGTAAAAAACAGGATACCCTTTATTAACAATGCCATAAGTTCTCTTTAGCCTTTACAGTGCCTGCAATAGAACTTGAATAAATAAACGTTTTCAGCTTGGGACAAAATTGGGTGTTGTGGGGAGTACACGGAGGGGGAAGAAGTTGGAAGCCCTCTTGGTTTTCTCAAGTTTACACTGTAATAGGAAAATAACTTCTGGTACAAGAACTTGTCATTACAAGTGTTGCTGTTAAGAAAAAACACCTTAATTCCACTGAGGTGTGTCATAAAGGAGCAGCTGAACATTGTAGAAATAGGTCTGGTAGTCCAGGTATACCCGACAATGAATGACTTGCATGATTTTGGGAACTTTGCCATAGCAATAGTGGTAAAATTCCTGCCCTAGAAATCTGATGAAGTTGGAGCATAAAATACTAAACTGGAGTACTGAACTCAGGGTTTCTTTGTAAATTAGACCCTGGAAATAACCACTTGATGGGCTGTTTGAGTGAATTAATACTTCATTCTAGAGGGGTGGTAATAAACTGGGCCAGAAAAGGCAAAAACAGCTATATTAAATCTTTGGAGGTACTAATGAAAAAAGCCTTTCTTGGACTTAAGGGAATGTCTTTTTGCTATTAGATTGGAAGGATTTCACTATTGGAAGATGACATCTTTTCCAGTTCCAGTGCTTTACGGTCGACTTGTTCAAGGCTAATTTTGAGAGAAAGGGAGGGGCAGAGAAGAGAGGGAGACAGAATCCAAAACAGGCTCCAGGCTCTGAGCTGTCAGCACAGAGCCTGATTCGGGGCTCGAACCCACGAGCCGTGAGATCATGACCTGAGCTGAAGCCGGATACAACCAACTAAGCCACCCAGGCACCCCTCTAATGCTTTTAAGCAGGTTTTTTGCTGACTACTCAACAGTAATTAAGAACAGGCCTCTTGCTAGGAAAGCTGTGTTTCGAAGATTAAAAAGTCTTGTCCTTTCCCACACTTCACTTTATACGTAAAAGCCCTGTTTTGAAAACTTGGAGAATAAAAGTATTTCACTGAAGTAAAAACTAATGGTGGTTTGTGCAATAGGACTTGCACAGTTATATTATTTCTCTTCGAATTTTTCGTTATCTCTTGACAGGCTTGCACCTCTGTAGTCTTGTGAATCTCGAGGAAAAAGATTTCAGCTTATACAGTCTCATTCTCTTAGGATCTATTTTCCATAGGGATCCCCTACATACTCATGGGTCTTAACAAATTTCTCTTTTGCACACAACTTGAAATTTGACCAAGAAAAATGCTCTCTAAATGCATATTCAACAACCTGTGCTATCAGTTGAGTTTGGGAAATGGGTTTATCACTCGTGGCCTCAAACCTTGCTCCACACTGAGTAAAATTGAAGTCAACTAGTTTGTGGCTCCTGTTCACTTGACTACTGGTAAGGGGCCAGCAATGCTGTGGGGAAATGTGACTGGATGGGAGTGGAGCTTTCCTTTGGGGATGTCCTAGAAACGGATGAAAGAGGTGATAAAAGTATGTCTGTGTATCTGAAGCCACGATTACTCATTTTCATTGTTCAGCTTCATGTTGTTTGTCCACTTAGCTCCTCGTTTAACTGCCAGAAATACAGTTCTCAATTGCAGTGTTAGTCCAGATGCCAGAGAGCCCATGGGAAGGAAGAGGCTGACCCATTCTGCTACAGCCTGTGGTGCAAATACCCCACCTGCCCTTTAAGGAAATGTTTCCCTTCTACTTAGGAATCCGATAGAAGAAGGGTTTCTGTTAATATTCCGCTTCTTATGATCTTTCCTGAAAGTGCGAAGATGTGCTACAAGAGGGGCCCTTGTCTGGCTCAGTCAGAGCATGTGACTCGATCTCAAGAGTTGTGAGTTTGAGCCTCGTGTTAGATGTAGAGATTACTTAAAATCTTTTTAAAAAAAAGATGTGCTAAAAGAATACTTGTTTGGTGTACTGTACTTGATGCCACTCCAAGATAGTTTTTGCTAGTTCTCAGTGAAATTGAAAAAAAAAAAAAAACTGAATTTTACATAATTTAAAGATTATATGCCCTCTGGGTAAGAATGTAGTGAGTGGACTGATTCAGTGTGGCTCAGGAGACAAGGCTCCTGGAGTTCAAATTGCTCCACTGCCTGCCTACTGGCTTCTAACCTTGGACAACGAATTCACCTTGTCAGTACATCATATTCCTCATTTGTAGAAATGGTGTTAATTATACTTCACAGAATCATTAGGATTACATGTTGAAGTGCTTAAAACCATGCAAAAACTTGCCTAGTGCTTATAATGCTATTTATTGTAATAAAATTGGAAATGACCTGATTGCACATGAGAGTGGTTACTTGATAATAATGCAATAGTTAAAAAAAATGTAGGAGGTAGGAACGGATATGGAACAATACTCAAGTCGGTGAAAAATGCTATAGAAAAAAAATGTGAATGTGTGCATAAGCTCACAAAAGGGTGGGCCCCTGCTTAACATTGGCTGCTTCAGGGGAGTAAAGGGAGGTGTATTTTAACTGCTTTCTGGATGGTATTTTCAGAGTTGCCACCCATAGGCTTTCAGGAAGGCTGAAATCATTTACAGCATAGCATCAGCATTGTCCACCAGCAGCCCCTGTTCAAGAGCCAGCAATGTAATTTTGAAGTCAAACTGTGCTCCTGAATTGGATAAACTTTGCACAAGTCTCTTTGATTCTCTGTGGGTCTCCCAGGAGGACCTCTAGAAACTTCCTGAACCTCAGCACACTTTAGTTATACTCTGCTCATTTCCCAAAGAATCTGCAGGGGTAAGCCATGACTCCCCTTTGATGAAGCCCAGACAACTCCGAGTGGAAGCTTTAGACAAATGTGGATTTCTGGAAGAGGATCTTGCATTTAGTTCAACAATGTTAACAGAAAAGTCAGTGTTGAGGTTTCTTCTTTTTTCATGCTTTTCTTGATCCCATCACTGTCCTTATCCTCCCGTTTAGGGGGTTGTGGGGGGATCCTCAGAAGTTGAGGGGTAAAGTTCACTCCAGCCAGTAGGTCTCACCCAACTCCCTGTAATTGATTCTAACATCTACTCTTCTGACCACCCGACACCTACCAGGACTCCCCTTAAGGAATGCTTTTACCTCCAGAAAATTCTGGTTTCAGTATTTCCCAAACTTCATCCTTCAAACTACAACCGCTGTGAATGGGATGCTGTGGTCACAAGAGCTCAGGAAGTTACCTCCCTCCTGGAGATTTACAATGTGCACTAGCATGGTAAGGGCTCCAAGAAGTTTTGTTTTGAAGAATTGGTCTGAAGTTTAACCCAGTGCTTTCCAATTTCCGGTTTCACTTTTTATTTCACTTTCCTTTTTGATCAATTAACATCCCTCAAAATTTGAGAAACATTGTTCAAACCGTGACCTCTCCCCTGCCTCCCAAACTAGCATTGCTGATTATGCTTTGTTCCCGTATTGATTTTTTACTTCAATACCAATGAGTATAACCCCCTTGTAAAGACTCCATCAAAAATAACATATACAGGTTTAAAACATGAAAGTCATTTTCAGTGTCTCTCCCCAGAACCTGTTCCCTCCACGTCTACCTTTCTCCTTCAGGACAGAAACATGCTGTCACAGGCTTGCATGCCACAAAAAGGTGGGCCTGGATATTCTGCTAAAATAGAACAACAAATACAAAATAGAACCATATAAGTACTCTCCCAATTCACAAGGAAATTGCTCAAATTCTTTCAGGTTAAGATTTGCTTCCATAACTAAGTTGTTTTCAATCAGTACCTGTTATGGCTTGTCTTCAAGCAGGTAGTATAAATTAGGACATGTGATTTTAAAAAATTATCTGGTTGATTTTGTAAAATAACAAAAAGTGATATTAACTCTTTTTTAGTCTTTTTTTCTTCCTTAGAAGTGTATTTGGGAGAGAGAGAGAGCAGGAAAGAGGGGCAGAGGGAGAGAGAGAGAGAATCTCAAACAGGCTCCACACTCAAGGCCCGACACAGGGCTTGATTCCATGACCCTGGGATCCTGACCTGAGCTGAAGTGAGAAGTTGGAATCTCCGGGCGCCTGGGTGGTTCAGTTGAGTGTCTGACTTCGGCTCAGGTCATAATCTCGCGGTTCATGAGTTCGAGCCCCGCGTCAGGCTCTGTGCTGACAGCTCAGAGCCTGGAGCCTGCTTCAAATTCTGTGTGTCTCTCTCTCTCTGCCCCTTCCCGTCTCAAACTGTCTCTCTCTCTCTCTCAAAAATAAATAAACATTAAAAAAAATTAAGGGGCACCTGGGTGGCTCAGTCAGCTAAGCGTCTGACTCTCGGTTTCGGCTCAAGTCATGATCTCACGATTTCATGGGTTTGAGCCCTGCATTGGACTCTATGCCAACAGTGCGGAGCCTGCTTGGGACTCTCTCTCTCGCCCTCTCTCTCTGCCACTCCCTCGCTCATGCTGTCTCTGTCTCAAAATAAATAAACTTAAAAAAATTTTTTTTAATTAAAAAAAAAAGTTGGAAGCTTAACTGAGCCACCCAAGCGCCCCCTAGCTCTTTTTAAA